GTAAATTTCTGACACAAAATCTACTTAAGTATTAAAAGTAAACGTACTGAGTAAAAGTGAGCTGTTAGAGTTTCCTAAATGACATTTATTGGGAGGTGACTTCTCCAAAAAATGATTTTTCTAACAGCGTGCAGCTGTGATGGGTTGTGTACAAGCTAATAGGGTGTCAGAATGGTATATATTTATACTTCTCATCCAACCACAATTCAATTCACTCTATCCAGGAGACACAATTTATCAGGATAGTATTTTTTAAAGTAATAATAACTTGGAATAAAATAGGAGTAACGACTTTCTACTTTGTACCTTTTTAAAAATGTAGTGAGTAGAAAGTACAGATAATTGTGTAAAAATGTAATGAGTAAAAGTAAAAAGTACGCTGAAAAATAATTACTCAAGTAAAGTACAGATAACCAAAATTTCTACTTAAGTACAGTAACAAAGTATTTGTACTTAGTTACTTTACAACTCTGGCAAACAGGGAATAAAAAAAATACAGTTATCACTGTATCTACTTTAAATCATCATCTTTTTAAATCATTTAGTTCAAAATATACTTTGGATTAAATCATACATGAACCTGTGTTGAACTAAAAAGGAATGCAATTAACCTCAAAAAGCTGTGTGCTCCTCGTTATCAGAATATTAAACGATGCCTAAAGAGAGAAAATGTCAAACATATAGGACAGATTTTTCATTTCATCTCATGACACTTAGGTTCAAGATAACATAAAAAAAACAGGCTCACAACTACTTTAAGAATATTCCTTTACGGTGGGAATCATTGTAGAGAGATTTTTACCTGTTCACCTTTTCCACAGGCCCCTGCAGTGGGGAGGCAGGGGATTACGCTTGTTTCACATCACAGCAGCATGGTCTTAAGATGCTGGCCCTGTGTGGAACCTGCGCACTATATCCGGCACCGCAGAGCCGCGCAGCAGTCTTGAATTGACCTTGTTCTGAGCAGGGAAGGTAGTGCATCTGGCAAACATAACCCCGCCGGCTCGGCTGCTAAGCACGCTGTCACGCGTGTGATCAGTGCGAGCGCGACGCCGGGTAAAGGTCCTCTGCCAGGTACTCCATCATTTTAACAAACACATCCTCATTAGCACAGGAGCTGGAAAACAAACATTAAGTGAAGTCCCCCGATGACAGTAATGAAGAAATATTTCTAATGAACAAATGTCCCCCATCTGCCTGCTGTGAGGGGTGACAGCTGGGGAGAGCCCACAGTGTGTGTGTGCATTCCCGTGTGATAAATGTGTTCCTACAATCAGTCACCGATGGGAAACCATAGGACATTTTACAAACAGTCACAGGGTTTCTCAAACCCACAAGGTCAGGCCGCTTTTCCTCATCGAGCCGTTTCCGTTCCTCCGGTCTGACCCGTGTGTTTGTTCCGAGCAGGGCATCGGCGGACGGGAGGCCCCCATGAAAGCCACTAAACCCTGGAACAACCGCCGCTTCATCGGCACGTTCGACGTGGAGAACACGACCAAGGGCGACTCGGGCCGCTACCGCTGCATTGTCCACTCGGACAAAGGAGTTGGAGTGTCCAATTATGGCGAACTAACCATAAAACGTGAGTATTTGTTCCAAAGCGGAAAGGAAAACAAACTGCCGCACAATAGGCCGAGCTGTTTTTTTTTTCCATCTGCGCGACCTCCGTGCAGGGTAGCTAGGGACAAACAGGAAATGCATTATTTATTTATTTATTTTTCTTTTGAATGGAAATGTCCTTTAATGGCTTACTGAAAACACAAGCTTTTTAAGCTTGATTTGTTATCCACTAGACTTTAATATTTCCCCTTTAAAGGCTGTCCTTGAGTGAACGCGGTTCCACTATAAGATCACAAAGGCAAGAGGCAGCAGGGTTTACAGTAACCTCTCTGATATTTCACTCCCTCAGTCATTTGATATGAATTTATGGAGTCGTCCGAAGCTAAATCTTGCAAGGCCTCTCTTTCCGACGGCCCTATAGCCCGGTAATGGCCATCTATATTTCTTCACCTCAATTTTCTCCCGGTGCTCTCAATTGAATTTACTGCCTGGATTTTTTTATTCTCTCTCTCTCTCTCTCTCTCTCTCTCTCTCTCTCTCTCTCTCTCTCTCTCTCTCTCTCTCTCTC